GGAAAAAAAACCCTTGAAGACATGGGCATAAGCAAAGGCTTTCTGAACAGAACTCCAATAGCACAAAAAATAATACCTAGTGTCAACAAATTGGATTACATTACATTAAAAAATCATCTTCACAGCAGTTAGAAAGAGCTAAGAGACGACCTACTGAATGGAGAAAAGTTTTTACCAGCTACTCTTCTGATAAGAGGACAAATGATCTAAAATATATAGACTCAAAAAATGACACCCCCCCAAAACAAGTGGCCTAATAAAAATATGGACAAATAAATTAAGCACACTTTTTTTTTTACACTTCTCAAAAGAAGTACAAATGGCTAATAAGTACATGAAAAAATGTTCAGCATCTTTAACCATTAGGTAAATGCAAATCAAAACAACTCTGAGATTCCAGTAAGAATTCCTCTCATCAATAGAATGAACACACACACACACCCACACACACCCAACTGCTGGTGAGGATGTGGGAAAGAAATCCTACATTATTGTGGGAATGTAAACTAGTACAACTGTATGGAAATCAGTATGGAGATTGCTCAGAAAACTAAAAATAGACATTGCATTTGACTCAACTGTACCTCTCCTGGGTATTTTCCCAAAAGAGTTAAAGACATCATACTATACTGATACATGCATACCCATGATTATATCAGTGCAATTCACAATAGCTAGACTACAGAAACAGCCAAAAAAAAAATGAATGGATGAAAAAAATTATATATTATATGATCATTATTCAGCCATAAAGGATGAATCTGAGCCATTTGAGACTTTACCGTTAAGTGAAATAAATCAGACACAGAAAGTTAAATACTGCATGATTTATTTTATATGAGAAACTCAATATATAAATAAAGAGTAACGAAGGAGAGCTGGTAGGAAACAGAGAGGTAGACTTTTTGGAGATGGGAAAGGGGATCAAGATGGGGAGGAAGGGGGACTGAGATGATCAAAATATGAGATATATACTCCCCAATTCCTCAAAATGAATGTAATAATTATGTATCACAAACATACCAATAAAAATAAACATGTTCTTCCTCCCTACTGTTACAATTTCCTGAAGGTCATCAGGGTGTTGTATTTATTACGGGTATTTAATACCTTGCACAGTGCTTAGCTAATCTCCAAAATGTAATAAAATACTTACATGACAATTTTAAAAACCAGAATTGCTGGTGACAAATTATCCCAGCCTTTTTTTTTTCAGTGCTGGTGATTAAACCCAGGTTTTTGTCAATGCTAGGCAAATGCTCTACTACCAAGCTATAATCCCTACCCTTCCAGGTTTTACTTTTAATTGTGCATTATATAACAATATCTCAGCAAATAACAAACTGCATATATGACAATAGGCTAAGATTACAATGGAATGGAAAAATTTCTATTGTTCAGTGACACTGTAGCTGTCATAACATCATAACACAACCCATGACATGTTTGTGGTGATGCTGGTATGGATAAACCTACTATGTTGCCAGTCATATAAAAGTACATCACATACAATCATGTACAGCACATAGCACTTGATAAAGGTAATAAATGACTGTTATTGGTTTATATTTACTGCTATACTTTTTATCATTATTTTAGAGTGTACTACTTATTTCTTTTAAAGGTACCTGTAAAAATAGCATCAGACAAGTTCTTCAAGGAGGTACTCGAGAAGGCACTGTTATTACAAGAACTAACAGCTCCATTTGTACTGGGGGAGGGGTACCAGGGATTGAACTCGGGACCTTGTGCTTGCAAGGCAGGCAGCGGAACCACGGAGCTAAATCCCTAGCCCTCCATTTGCATTTTTCCCCTGCAGACCTACCAGTGAGAAAGGATGCAGAAGACAGTGATACTGATGCTCCTGACCCTGAATCAGCCTAGGAGAGTGTTTGTGCTTTAGTTTTTAATGAAAAAAGGTTTAAAATTAAAAAATGGTTTATTTTCATTTTAAAATTTTAAAAATCACATTTAAAAATGTGTTTAAAAATACATATAGCCTAGGTATAGTGGTAGGCTATACCATCTAGGTTTGTATGTACTCTGTTATGTTCACAGAATGATGAGATCACTTTGCAGTTCATTTCTCAGAATGTATCTCCACTGTTAAAATGACAACTGCCTGTACTTGAAAATGTCTATTTCTTCTTCACTCTTTTTTTTTTCTTCACTCTTAATAGTTATTTTTACTGAATATAGAATCCTAAATGGACATATTTTTCTTTCAGGTCTCAATGTTGCTCCTTTCAATGGCTATTCACCATTTATATTATTATTCCCCTGGATTTCAAGGTTTTCTTTTTCTTTTTTTTGTATTAAATTCTTTTATTGGTACATTGTAGGTATACAACACAATTACATTTCTCATTGGGAATTGTACCTTTACATAATGCATCTTGGTTCTTATTTTTTCCCCATTCCTAGCCCTCCCTTTACGCCCTCCACCCTTCTCTATTTACAAAGACTTTATTTCCATTTGTTCCATTTCTCATCATTTTTCCTTTCCCTTCTTTCCTTTCCCCTGCCCCTCCCACTACCCCTACCCCTTTGGACCTTTTCTTCCTATTTTACATTATCGATTATTCATTCTAATCATTGGTACATTTTAGGTATACAATATAATGACATTCATCATTGGAAATTTGCACCTTTACATAATCTCTCTTGGTTCTTATTTTTCACCCTTGCCCAGCCCTCCCTTCAACCCCTCCAGTCCTCCCTATCTACAAAGATTTTGTTCCTATTTTTCCATTTTCTCATATTGATCCCATTCCCTTCTATCCTTTCCCCTAGCCCTCCCACTTCTTTCCCCTTTGCCCCTTTTCTTCCTATTTCACATTACCTATTATACATTTGAAGGCCCTGGGTTCAATGCCCAGTACCACAAAAACAAAAGACAAAAACAAGTAGTTGTCTGGACTTAGACTTTAAACTTTCCTCCCCTTGCAGTCTATAGCAACAGAAATCTCTCTTCAGTGCCTTCAAATGCAATCTATTGATTTGTAACTAAGGCCACTGGGTTCTTCCCAGAACTTGGAAAGTTTGTCAGTCACTGAAGGATTTAGATAGTGTGTGTGTACTGGAACTCATCTACCCTGTGCCTTACCTCCTTTAAGTATTTCTCCCCTAACTTCTAGCTGCTCTGCCATCTCAAACAACGATCTTTAGTTTTTCAAGTCAGAAAAGCTATAGACTGAGGAGGGCCCTTCAGAAAGAATTTGAAACAGTCCCAATCTTACTCCTTGCTATTTGACTTCCAAGGGCCTACTACTTCTGCTGTTCTGCTTGTTTTTCATTTTGTTCTATCATGCACCTCTGTTGCTATGATCCTGCTACCCAATCCATTAATTATTTCTGAAATGAGAAAAGACATAAAGATAAAGTGGATTCATTTAGTTAAGAACAGATTTACTGCACTCTTATAATGCATCAACCACTGATTAGGTATTGGATATTCAGTGGTGAACAAAACAGACAATGTTCCTATCTTAGGGGCTTATATGGGTGTGCTTAAATGAAAAATAATAGCAGAAACAGACATGTTATGAAAACAAGGTGAAAATGAATGGCAGAAGGGGAAGGGTGCACTTTAAAATGATGGGTAAAGTCCTTTTTAAGGAAAAAACAGGAAGGACGATCATGAGATTACTTCAACTAAGGTACTTCAGTGATTAAAATGGGCAAAAGCCCTAAACCAGAGGAGTTTAGGAATGAAATAAGAAGGAAACAAAATAAACAAAAAAGGGGATAAAAAAAGAATCCATCTGACTAACAGGAGAATAAAGAACACTGGTTATAAGTGGGTCACAAATTTAGCCCTGAGATTCCTGATGGCCAAAACGGGCCATCCACTTAGGGCTAAAATGCACTCTACAAAACAATCCTAAATAGAGACAAACATAAAAACTATGCTGCACACATTATTTATAATAGTACTACAAGCCAACTATATTCAACAATAAAAGAACAGTTAAAGAGGCTACAGTGCCTATTTAGCTAATAGATTACTTTAAACCCATTAAAATTGAGACCTTAACCTATAAACATTTATGCTATACTGTCTAGTAAAAAAACATATAAATTATAAAAGAATATAAAGTAAATTATAATTACTATTTTAGGTAACACTGGAAATCCTCAAAAACCTTCACCCCTAACATCCAATAAACTACACTAAAGGCACACATTTCTGAATGAGATGCATTTTTTTCATTTTTTCCCTCTTTCCTGTATTTTTCAGATAAAAGTATTTAAAATAATAATCCATTTATTTGTAAGGAAATGATAAATTGTTTAGGTTAAACAAATAATGTTGTAATAAACATGTAGGTATGTTTAAGAGTTTGGAAGGGAAAAAGTTAGGCATCTAAGATATTACTACACAAACCTACATACCCATGGGGATATAAATGCCTCCTGCTCCATCACACTCCAGTCATCTTCCACAATACCATGGGATAATTCTCCTCAAAACATAAACCTGACTGTGGCAGTTCCCCAGCATCTAAATAGCAATAGCGTTCTGACTTCTGAATGTGGCTCTTCAAATGAAGTTCATGCATACGTTATTTCCCTGACAACATTTGCCTTGAACCCACTCCAACTCATGCTACATTTTGTGCCAAACAGAGGTACTTAATAATTTCTCATTCAAATGTGAAATGTTCATGCTACTCTTCCTTTGCCTGGAATGTCTTTCCTCTCTAGTTATGTTTATAATTTTCTTTCAAATGCCACCTCAATTATGAAGCCTTTCCTGATTTCTTTGGACAGAGATAGGCATACTTATCTTGCCCCTTCACCACATACTATAAAAATCTCTATTACAACAAATCTGACAGAGTACAGCAATTTTTGTCCAATGGCCACATTCCATACAATAAACAATAATTTGAGGGCTGGTTTCATGTGTTATTTTTGTACCCAGAGGACTGAGAACTGTTCTTGGCACATAGCAAGCACTTAAATGCTTGCTGATTAATGGAAATAAGCAAACATACCTTTACTGGTCTTACCCAAGCCAAAGAACAAGGGATAGCCTGAGCTGGAAGCTTTGTGTAGCAGCACCTATGGTAAATAATCAAATATATGAATATTTAATGATTTATTCAATCCCATTTTATGAAATCTCTAATTTGTTTCTTGGTTCTTCATACCATTTCAGAGTACAACTGTACCTCGGTTCATGAACTTAATTTGTTCCATGATTTTGGCAAAGATGGCCACGTCTATGTTTGTGGAAGAAAGATGGCCACAGTTGTGTTTGTCACCCAATGTAGAATTTGCCAACAAAACCAAAATTTTGTGAAACACTTTTGTTTGTGAACCAAATTGTTTGCAAACAAAAGTGTTCATGAACTGAGGCATCATTGTATTTTATTTGTGAAATTTAAAAATAATGCAATCTAAGCAAATAAAATTAAAGCACTCTAAGAACTAAAATTTCAAAGCATAATTTTTGAGAGGCTCATACAATAGGTAGAAATAGTTCAACCTTTCTATTATATATAGAAACCTCTTATGATCCAAAGAGTCATTTTCTTAATGAAACTGAAATTTATTCTTGTGATCCATTCAAATTTCTAGTCAAGTGAAAATGATTATAATCTATCTGTGAAATTAAATGACCAGTTGTCAAATCTGCACTAAGAAGGAGGGGTGGAAAGCAGGGGAAGGCAGAGGAGGAAAGGCAAGAGAAAAAGAGCTCTAGCACTGTGACTTAATTTGTCCATTGTTTTTGTTAAATTCAACTCACTTCAGGAACCTCAGAGAGGACTTCTGCACAGTTCCAATATTTCCAAAGTCTGGGTAGAACACTTCAACTTCATTTTTCCCAAGGACTCGATGGATAACAACCCGATACCACCACTTATCCTCAGAAATCCTTACACAACAGAGATGTCCCGGTTGGATAAAATGTTCTGGCATGGTATATCGCTCAGAAACCAGCTGGTTAGAGTAGCAGCGCCTGTGGACTCCACAATACAGAGAAACCCATAGGGAAAGAAAAACTGAAGATCACTTTTACTGATTTATCAAGAACAGGAGAGTCTTAACAAAAAGCAAAGGAAAATTCTCACTTTATAAAATTTGTTAATGTTTATTAACACCAGAGAACTTTCTTTTTTTGGTACCAGGAATCGAACTCAGGACCTTGTGCTTGCCAGGCAGGCATGACGCCATTGAGCTATGTCTCCGACCTGTGAACTTTCTTATACTATCAGAATAAAGTAAAATCCAACTTCTTTCCCCAGAACTTTCTAAAAGGGACATTTTTTAAAAACATAGGGCAAGGGATGTAGCTCAGGAGTAAAACACTTACTTGCCTAGCATGTTCAAGGCCCTGGGTTCTATCTCCAGCACTAGGAAAAAAAAAAATCTTATAAAAAATAATCAATGACTAGTTAATTCCCAAATCTAACAGCCTCTTTCTTCTAAGCCTTCAGTATACTTGTTCTCTCTGCAGCATTACCCAATCTTTTTTCAAGCTCTTTCTTATTTAAATTTCTAAGACAAATTATCTCTTACTTTTTCCTTGTCAATAATTACCCTTTAATAGGCTCAGCTTTGCCTTAAAAATTTGGGTTCCCTGGGGTCTTTAGGAAGTACAAAAACATGTTTAAATACCGCATTGTTTTTCTAGTGAGAAACTGAAAGTGTAAATAAGGACCAGTATTACAGATATTGGGAAATGGGAAGAAAATGTTTAAATGAAAAGGGGAAAGAAGGAAGAGTCAAGAAAAAAAATAGAGGGAAAAAATTGGAAACAAAGCTTTTGTAAATAAGGACGGGAAGAGGGGTCGAAGGGAGGGGAGGAGAATGGGAAAAAGCAGCAGCAAGATATATCATGTACAGGTACAAATTCCCTATAATGAATGTTATCATTACATATATCTAAAATGTACCAATAAAAATTAAAAATAAGAGAAAAAAGGAAGTATAACAGGTTCAAGTCCTGACTCCATAACTTACGAGCTATGCAACTATCTCTATGATTCAGTTTCATTGTTGAGGATGAGGATAATTTTTAAAACCTTGGTCAAAATAACGTGAAAGTTCAGGCCAGTGACCAAATATAGTAAGCAATCAAATAGTAGTTACTAATTATAATTTTTATGGTATACCATCTCATCCATCTTCACATCTTATATACAACTACTGATAAACTGATGGTTCTTTCTCTCTAGAAGGCCTTGCATTCTAAGGTTCAAAACATATTCTAACTGGATGGAAGACATGCTGATTATTCCTAGTATCCATTTTCTTTTCTTTCTTCCTAATAATATATCCACATTATAACTTCATATATGGCCATTCAGATTTCCCAGGATCTAGGTGTGACTTTGTGAATAGAAAGTTCTAGCCAACAGAGTATAAAAAATAATTACACAGGACAGTAAATTATTGTGTATTTTATTCCAACTTTAAAAAAGTGATGTGTGAAAATTTCATGTTGTGTCTTCCAAATTAAAAGCATGCCCCATGCATCCACCTTCTCTTTCCCCTTCCAAGTGGGAAGGAGGAGCCAGTGGATGTGTGGTGAGGCATTTCCAGAACTTTGCAGATGGGGTAACATAAGATCTGGAGCAGCAAAATAGAAAATATCTGTGTCCCTAACATCATAAAACTATTATATCAGCCTGTATCATCTCTACTGGGACTATTAAAGAAATAAACTTTATCTGCCTTATGATATTGTATCTTTGGAACTGTGGCTAAATCTAATTCTAACTAATACTGCCAGTTCAACATTGCCAAGTGATTGTATCATGCTCACCTTAGAGGCAATGTGTGTAAATTTTTAACTTCTCTCACCCCAGATCAAACTTAATCTTGAAAACCAATAGTTTTCACATTTAATATCTCACCTTTATTCTTCCCAATACTATTCTTGTCACCCGAGAATTTTACTTTCTTAATTTACCTCTAGTATTGATCTTCTTCACCTCATCCATTTTCTATACTGCAACTGTGGTTATCCATCTAAAAAACCTGTTTATGTCTTTCCTAAAACCGTTAGTGGTTCCATACTGTCTACAAAGTAAGTCAGAACTCCTTCCCGTGGTGTCCATAATCTAGCTCTTCCCTACCTCACTAGTACAAGCTCCACTCCCCTATGTGCTGTTCTCAATGCACTCCACTCATTCCTATGTTAATACTGACTTGATGGAGTGGCTACTGGATTCAAATACACCTACTCATGCCTCAAATGGCGAACTTTTACTTATTTTTGAGGCCTAACACAAATATCTCCTTTGTAATACTTTCCTTAATCTTGCCCAGGCAAACTACTGCCTCCTACAACATTCCACACACATATCCCCTAACCATCTTCCTAGCCAATCATAGTGCTGTTCACAAAAGCAGACTTATCCTTATACTGCTAGTGCCTCAGCATCCCAACACTTACTACTAATTAATACTCTTTTAACTGCTTGCTGTTGACAAAAAAAATGGAAGGCTCGGGCCGGGGATTTAGCTCAGTGGTGCCACTGCCTGCCTCACAAGTGCAGGGTCATGAGTTTGATCCCTGGTAACAACAAAAAAAGAGAAAGTCTCATAAAATCACTTCCCAAGTTATCTCAAAGAACACCTGAGCACTTGTTTGAGTTATATGTGTGTGATGGGCAAGGGAACGTGATTTTTTACTTGGAAGATGAAGTAATTACTTTTTTCATGGTACACCATTTGTGCTTTAAAAAACCACCCCCAAACTATGTGTTAGGGTTTATATCTAAAATGTAACCCCAAAGTGTCATATCCATTCAGACATGGGACAATGAGGTAGGTCACAGAGATCCTAACCTGGAAGGATGTATTCTTATCCCCAGCTTCAACCTACTCCCTCTGCTTCCTGGCTGCTATGGAATGAACGGTTGGTTGTCCTCTGCCAGGCCCTTCCACCATGCTATTTCTGCCCTGGAGCCAGCCAACTTTGGACTCAACCCACTGGAAACCATGAACCAAATAACTCTTTGCTTCTTAAATTGTTGGTGTATTTTGTCCCAGGGATGGGAAATTAACTAATAAAAAAATTAGTACCAACAGCAAGGTTGTTGCTCTGACTATATCTGACCATGTGGTTCAGAAGCCTTTGAAATTGGTTCAACGGAGGAGTTTGGAAAGATTTGGAGATGCCAATAGAGAAGCCTTAAAATGCTGTAAACAGAGAATGGGGAGACACTGCAGTCAGAGCTCAGAAGACCAGAATGCTAACAGGAATGCAAATAGTAAAGTCCAGGCTCAGGAGGTTTCATATGGGTTCAAGGACTCCACATCAGTTGGACTGGAGGTCATGTGTGCTATACCCTGGCAGAAAATTTGTCTTCATTTTGCCCATGTCCTGAGACTCAACCCATTTTCCAGGAGACTGAGACTGAAGATGGTAGCCTAAGCCCAACATTCAGGCCATGGCATGAGTACTGCTGGCTGCTTCTATTCAGATTTATAATGAGAACTGGGAACAATCAGTAAAGCCAAGAGATGTGAAAAGTTTAATTTTACCATGAAGGAAACACCTGCAAAGTTGGGACCATTGAAAGCACAGTTGCTGAGATTAGCATTAAAAGAAGCCAAGTACTTTGCATCAGGACAACAGAAAAGATGGCTTCAAAGCCTCTCAGAAATCAGCAAGATCCCACCCATTACAGTTCAAAGATTATAAACCTTTTGAAAAGACAGCCTCTGGTCTCCTGCTCAAGAAGGGAGACCAAGAGAACTGATTCCTTGGGATTCATTTCACCATGCTCAGCTATCTAGGTTTTCAGAAGCCACTGTAGCCACGGTGTTCAAGGGGGTCTAGCTACTGCTCAGTGTGGCAGCAGACCTTAGCATCATCCATATGGTGCTTGTTTTTCAGGCATACAGAATCCAAGAGTTATGGGATCATAGAGGGTTCAAAAGAGGGTCTGTGAGACCAGGTACTATGCGGGCAGTGCATGAAGCTATGAGAGTGAAGCTGAAGAAGCATTGGAGAACCCAGGAATGTGGAATGTTTGTTGAGGAAAACCACAAGCAGAGAATGGCCTAAATAGAGAGGCCATATGGGCTATAACCAGCAAGACAACAGGGGCAGGGCTGCTCAAGTCCTTTGGAGTTCACCCACAACCTGCCCTGGCTGGACATGGAGCTAAAGAATTAATGTTTGCCCCTGCTGGGTTCTGGTTTTGCCCTGGTCCCATTCTTTTCTATTTCATTATTTCTCTTGTAATGGGAATGTTTACCCTGTGCCAATATGTGCTGGAAATATTTAACTTTCTTGATTTTTACAAGAGCTGACAGCTAAGAGTTTGCCTTGGGTCTCAGAGAAGACTCTGAACTTGAGATTTTAAGCAATGTCAGAATTGTTAAAACTTTGGCAACTCTTAGACTAAATGCATTTTGCATAATGAGATGACATGAGACTTTTGGGGGCCATGGTTAGAATATTATAGTTTAGATCTAAAGTCTCAAGCATTTGGAAGTGGGGCCTGAACTGGAAGGATGTGTTCTTAACCTCAAATCCAACCTTCTTTCTCTGCTTCCTGGCTGCCAAAGGATGAACAGCTGTTCTCTGGCTTGCTCCATCAAGCTGTTTCTGACTTGGAGCCAGCTAACTTTGGGCTGAAACCACTGGAAACTGAGCCAATTTAAACCTCTCTTCATTTAAGTTATAAGTATTGATATTTTGTCCCAGTGATGGGAAAATAACTAGTATACTAATGACAATTCAGACTTAGGTATCTGACATATCTCTTCCCCAAAATTAAGTGAGCCTTCACTTTAAGGTAAATGACTAACAATGTATGTTGTCAATGACAAAATTCAAACCTCCAAATAAAAGTTGGCATTTTGGAAATGTTATATCTACCACCACGAGCTCAACAGCTTCCCAACAGTTAACATTTTTCTGATGACATCAGTAGTGCTATTAGTGAATATTATTTTTTAAATAGTATGTGGTGAAATATGTCAACATTTGGAAGATCTGTATAATTTAGTGGACTAGCATTTTACAAATTACCAATAAAAAAATGTTGTAAAAGGGTAAAAGATTCACTGCAGGCTAGTCTACAAAAGTCCATGGTTAGAAGGGCCCTAGGCTTGCTTAAATGGCTCTGCTTTTGCTATCTCGAAATTCTTAATTTTTAAACAAGGAACTCTGCATATTAATTTTGTTCGGGGGCCTGGAATTACATGACTAGTCCCGGAGCCAGTCAAAGCACAAAAGTAGATCAATCAACTTTAACAGAGTATATGAAAAAATTTGAATTCTACATTGCAATTTATCTTTAAAAAACTACCATTTGTCAAGTTTTAACATATTATCAAGAAACAACAATCATGATTGTCTGAAAAGACTATTAAAACACTTCCTGCCCAACTACATAACTGTGAACTAGGCATTTCATATACTTTAACCAAAACCACACATAGTAGATACCCTAATCCAAGTTGATTAGAGTAAGATACAAGAAAACAATAACAGACTCCTACCGCATTTCAATCATCATGTCTTCCAGTAACTCTGATGAATCTCTGCTATAGATCCGGACGTAGAATTGACTAGGAGAGATAATGTACTCCACAAAGACCCCCACGAGGGCACTGGTATCTAATGGTGGAAGTCTGCATAATTTCTTTTCTTGTACAGCATCTGGTGGGATATCATGATTTGCCACTGACAAGTTGAGATGTGGTTTGTTTATCTCTAGTTCCTACAAATTTTTTTAGAAAAGAAGAAATGAAACCATAATATGTCTTTGGGTGACACTTCAAACCCTAAAGTGTCGGGAGCAATGCTACATAATTTTAGGGGAAAATCATTTGGTTAGCCTAGTTCTCCTGCCTACAGCCCAGATATGGAATTCCGAGACACAATTCCATTTTGGCCTCCGGTCCCAACTGAGACCTCAATGATCCGGTGATGCTGTGATTCTCTAAAACAAGAAACACCCTGGGAGCTGAAAACATCCTGGGAGGAACAAACATCTACTCAGCTCCTCATTGTTCTTGGATCGTTACATCTTGTTTACGCAGGATGTACTTAACTCTCTGCAAGTCATTTATTACATTTGTTTCTCCCGATGTACTGAATAAAATGTGTGGTAAGCTGGGGGCTTTTGTCTTTGCTGCCCAGAGCAGCACTAATCAGACCCAAAGCTCAGCTTCTTGTTAGTCTCATTTTTCTACCTTTCCTGTAATTCGCCGTGTACTGCCGTGGCTCACAGGAGACTAGAACTTACTGCAGAGATTCTGGTAACGTCCCCTTTCCCTGTTCCCTACACTAAAGTAACATTTCTCAAAGTATATTTCATGCATTACTCTAATTAGAATTACTTGGAAAATTAAAAATGCAAATCCTTGGACTCAAGTCAGGTTTATTGATTCATAATACTTGAAAATGGCACTCATAGTTACACATTTAAAAAAATTCCCCAGGTGATTTTTACTTATATTAAAATATGAAAATTTAGCTTTATGATATAAGGCAAATAATAAGTATTATGCAAATACTCCACATGAACTTGACAACATGGTACTTCAAATATTTAGGCTGAACCAAGGATTTTCATCCTATCCAATCCTACCAAGTGTGAAAGATAACCTTAAGGAGTGGATTAAATTTCAGACTAGCCTTCCAGTCAAAGATAGGGTTTTGCAAACACTCTCATTCTTAAATATACTGTTTACTTCTAGGCTTTCCTATTGTCTTCCAGAATATATACCAGGCTCTCAAGATATTTTTATTCCATGAAGAGCCAGGAACAGAGTACAGTGAAGAATACAACTAATTCCTTAGTAGTAAAATAAGTAATGGAAAATGAAAACACAAAAAAGGGAGAATCATGTGTGAAGGTATAATTTAGGAGAAAAAAATAAAAGCACTGAATAACAGGCTGGGTGCAAAGGTGACATGCACGAGTTTAGGCACATACCCAGAAGAGAGCTCTCTATTCTCTCCTTTAAGGTCCTGAGGGGTTTTCCAGCCTAAACTTTGAAAGACAGAGATAGAGGCTAAGCAGTATCATCATGAGAATACTGTCAAGTCTCAAAACCATCTGAAAACTTTAAAAATGAGACTTGAGGGAAATATAGGTATATAAAAGACAAAACTAGAAGGAACACTACATGAGGTAACTTCGGACCAAAGAATTGGGCTCTACCAAGAAATACGTAGAAATAAAAATTCTCTACAAAGAACTTTGCTTTAAAAAACCATTCATTCAGTAAAGACTTTACCACCAGATTAGGCTCCTTACAAATCTTCGGTTCTGGATCTTTATGTTTTCTCAAAGAGCAATCCCACGTAGTCTCCTTAACAGCAGCAGTAGATGGTGAATTTCTAGGACTGGAGACATAAGCTTTGGGTTCTATTTTCTTATCTGATTGAACAAAACACGAATTTCTGATTGATGAAGCATCTCCATCTAAAATGGCCAATACATATTTTCATATTTGTTACAATAATGATACAACTGTCACTACGTACCTTCTGTGTTACAGGCACTGGGAAGGACAATGGTAAATGAGGCATTACCTGACCTTACAGATCTTTCAGTGTGGAGACATAAAGGGAAGTTCTATGTGAGAACAAATCCTAGAGGGGCAAGGGAAGCTTGCAGCATGGTAAGGTTTCTTAAACTCTGATGAGTGGCTTTATTTTTGAACATCTTGATTTCAGTGTATTTCTTCTAATTAAGCAGTGAACACTGATTACCACTTAATGTACAATGTGTAAAATTACTTAAAATTCCATAATACAATGCTTTAATTCTTAGAAAATTCCCAAATCAATCACCTATTTGGTTCAAATTTATATATGTATGATGACTACATGAGGCCGGCACATTAAAATAAACTCCAGTGGCTCCTAAAAAAAATAAACTCATGTGCATTAAGATGTGGATACAAGGGCCAGGGATTTAGCTCAGTGGTTCCGCTGCCTGCCTTGCAAGCACAAGGTCCCGAGTTCAATCCCTGGTACAAAAAAAAAAAAAAAAAGATGTGGGTACAAAAATATTTATCACAGGTCTGGGGATATAGCTCAGTGGTAGAATACTTGCCTAGTATATGCGAGGCCTGGGTTGATCCCCGGCACTGCAAAATCTAAATAAATATTTAAGAATTTTTATCAGTATACTTCTTATAACAGTAAAAATGGCAACAATTTAAATGACCATTAACAGGAAACTGGTTAAATGAATTATCATAGAGCTACATTAAAGAATTATTATTATTGAGATCCCAGCCAGAGCCCCACCTGGACCCCAGGGGCTTGGGCACACAAGCCTAAGCTAAAAGGCTGCCCACGAAAGAGCTGCACAGGCACACAAACATCAGCCAGAGGCCTGCCCCATACCATCAGTAAGTACACACAGATCCCGGTGAGCAGCAGCGTGGACCATAGCAGCCCAGCTTCAGGCAGGTCCAGCCAGGGCCCCACCCTGACCTGCCACCACTTGGGTAAACAGGCACAAGCCAAGGGCCTACCTGGAATAGACCTACACAGGCACACACGCAATAACCAGAGGCTCACCCTGATACCATCAGTTGTGTGGAGACCTGAGCCAGAATCCTGCTCAGACACCAGGGTCTGGGGTGCATAGTCCCCAACCAAAGGCCCTCCCAGACAATAGCTATATAGGGGGGCAGGCCCTAGCCAGACTCACACCTAGATACCATCCCAACTGTGCACAGGCCCCAGCCATAAGCCCACCCAGAAAATAGGTCAGCTCAGGGATCCAGAAGGCAACTATTCTGAACTCAGGAATGGGTACACTGGTGAACAACACAGAAAAGGCCACTCTGTGGCTTGCTCACCTCAACAAAGTCACCTCAACAAAGCCACAGCAGGCTGCATCTGCTGAAATGAGAAGACATGTAAACAAGTCTCAAAACCAGACTTGCAGATCGCCCAAGGAAACCCCAAAACACAAGAAAAGGGAATAATCTGACACTCAACCACCTGGACTCCCTGAACTGGCAATGAAAGAGATCTGGAAAAAATGAAATCAGAAATAATTTCTCAGATAACAGAGATTGTTTCCATAGTGCAAGACATAATTAATAAATCTAGAGCAGACACAGATAAAAAAAAATAGAGGAGCTGAGGAACATGATGGAATCCCAGCAGAGGAAAACAAATGGGATCTGTAAAACAGATGCAAACAGAATTCCAGATTAAAAGCTCCACTGAAAGTTTACACAGCAGAATGAGCCAATGTGAGGACAGAATTTCAGATATAGAAGTCAGGATTGCAATTAGTCACCAGGAAAGGAAAAGTTTCCTAAAAATAGTAAGGAACCATGAGAAATCAATCCAGTAGCTGCTAGATGATGCAAAGAAGATTAACATAAGGCTGACTGGAATCAATGAAGAAACAGGAGAGAGTGCAGATGACATAAAAAAAAAAAACTGGTCACAGAAGTAATGGCAGAGTGGGGAAAAGAACTTGACATACAGATAAGTGGGGCATACAAGACTCCAACTAGCAATGATAAAAAAAAATCTACACACAGGCATATAATAGTTAAGATTACAGAAACCTAACAGAAGAACAAAGTTCTACAAGGAATTAAGAGAAAACAAACAAATCACATACAAAGGAAACCCCATCAGAACCACAGCAGACTTCTCAATGCAAACCCTCAAGGCAAGAAGAGCTTGGAGTAACATTTCAAGCCCTCAGAGAAAACACCTCCAAACCAGACTGATGTACCCAGCAAAACTATCTTTCAAAATGGATGGAGAAATAAGATACTTCCATGACAAAGAGCACCCAAGGAACATTATGAATACCAAATCAGCACTTCAAAAAAATTTAAATATCCTTAGAAAAGACAATGAGGATCACAACCCCAGGAAGCCCAGCAAGAATGAATCCACCAGGCATGACAATAAATTAAATGGAAAGGGGGAGAATCCAACAACAAAAAAAAGTCATGGAAAAAAAAAAGAAAAAGTCCTGCCAAGGATAAGTCAATACATATCAGTTATAACCACCAATTTTAATGGTCTCAATTCACCAATCAAAAGAAATAGACTGGCAGAATGGGTCAAGAAGCAAGATCCAACAATATGCTGCATACAAGAAACACACTTAA